GTTTAAACTAAGGAAGTAGCGTAATTCATATACCGATAGCAGCACCGTTTGTCCAGCGGCTTAACGGTATACCAATACCGTCCAATCAGGTACCGGTACTGACTTAGTACCGGTTCTCGATACCCATCCCTACTCCTGACTGTCATCCTACACCCTCTTCAGCGAGCGGCATAGGGAAGACAGGGCCCCTAGCTCAAGGGCTCCGCCTGTGCTTATAGAACTAGGGTTACAATACGTAACCCCCCGTTCTATCAGACACAGGCTCCGATGAATAAACGCCCTGTTGCCCCACACATCGCCCCACCACACTGCCCCTGACCGGCCTTTGGTTAACAGCCATCGCACCCCAGCATCCTATCACCCGGTTGTGACCGCGGAGAAGTCGGGGCCGCAGCTTACTTGGCTGAGTAGAGCCTAATTGGTCTGAATAAGCCCATAGCTCCACCCTGCAGGTGCCAGCGCAAGTGACTACACACTGCGCACCACGTTTCCCAGGTCCCTAAGGAGCATGGGAAAACGTAAATGTACTATGTCTTCCACACTCACATGCTTACCTCGTGTAGAGTGTGCACAGACCTTATGGCGCGTTTCCACTGCAGAGGCGGAGCCCCGTTTAAGAGAGCTGTGACGTCAGCGGCCCGTTTTTGGTTGCGTTTCCACTTGGCCTAGTACCGGCTAGCGGGTCCTAATTCACAGTTTTTCTGGCCCCATAAAATTGTGGTTCTAGGGCCAGGAACAACCAGGCTGAGTCGGGCTGAGTATGCTAAACTAGAGAGAGGATCGCTGGCAAGGGGGCTACAACTACAACAAAATGAACATATTTGACCGTGATTTAATTGTAATTCAATTCAATTCAAAATGATGCCGAAGTAACAACATACTGATACCGGTTTAATGCTTTGACAAGTCTGCAGACAGACGGCAGGTGAAAAACCTTTTAAAATGCGTGTTTTCTAAATGGAGATTGGCTAAGCTAACGCAGTATATGCTCTGACCGTCCACACTCACAACAACGGCCTATACAGACATAAATAAACCAGCGACTGTATTCGCCATGACACAGGCAGTCTGTGGTTTGTACTTGTTTAACTTTTGTCTAGTTTCTGAACAGATATGAGGAGCTGTGAGCTTGAGTGCTAACAGCTAACGGCTGTGTTGTTTTTCTGGGGTTCTCATTGAAGATGACATCACGGCTCCACCTACACTGCGTTACTATAGTTACTACCCCAGTTCCTAAACTGTAATGGAAATGCAGCATAAAGTGAGCCGGTCCTAACAAGGCCTAGCCATACCGAGCGAGGCCGTGTAGTGGAAACGCGCCATAAGTGGGGAAGGCTCTCCCCGCCTGCTTCCAGCCCTGTATGGGGCTTACTGCGCACCACGTTTCCCAGGTCCCTAAGGAGCATGGGAAAACGTAAGTGCATTATGTCCAAGGGGGTCAGATACAGCTTACTGACCCACAGCCCCTCTCCTTTCACCAGTCCTGTGTTGCCCCAGCAAGCACAGACGATGAAAAGGAGCCCGACATGTCCAAAAGATAAAACCTTATGAACGGGCCTGGCGTAGACCAAGACGCCGCCGTGCATATGTCCTCCACACTCACGCCGTTGAACAAGGCTCTCGACACAGCCATACCACGTGTAGAGTGTGCACGGACCCCAGTGGGAAAGGCTCTCCCCGCCGGCTCATAGGCATGTGAGTGAGGACTCTGTGGAGCTGTGCTGCCAGATGGTTCACCTGTGAGGTGACAGAGGTTTGGAAATCCTCCTGGCGTTCTGAAAGGTCTTTCACTCCATGGCTAATGGTTTTTAGCTGCTCCTGGTGCTGATGGATGATGTTTCCCTGTGCGGACAGCGCGGTCTGGAGCGTCTTAGGGTTGGCTGAGTCCATACTGGCCAGTTCGTTCTGTTAGGAACCTTAACTCAATAGTATGAGGACTCAAATGCACAACCCAGAGACAAAAAAGGTTTGAAGAAAATAATCTTTACTTGAAAAAACAAAATCACTCTTTCAGAGGATATAACAAAATGTCAAAAGTAAAGCGCTCACATAAAAACACTGAGTCTCTTAAACGATGGCCTTATTTTCCCGGATTTGAAGGATACATCTGATGTATCCTTCGCGGTCTACCATATCCCAGGGTGCAATGAAGTGCAGTGAAGATTGAATTTTTTTCAAATGAAATGGCTTCCGGTCTCCCCAGCAGAGTGGATTTAAAAGCAGCAGCAAGCGGAGGAATCACTAATAAATGTGAGTATCGGGTTTTAACTTACTTTAAATTAACTAACGTCACACACGTCAAACCCAAGGGGCATTCAAACGTACATTTTCGTTAAATAATACAAATAAATACGTGACTTAAGTGGCGCTAACTAGCTGGACGTACTGCACTTATTCTTAATTCAATTCAGAAGTTTACTAAAGTCATACAGAGGCTCTGTTATAGATAAGTTATATTTTATATTACATAAATAGACCAAAGTGAAAACATTTAGACCGGTATAGCCTCCAGTACGGTGGAATTTATAAAATGCTACCCTGACGTGTAGCTGCTGTTTGCTTTATTTATTTCTCTGACATTTAGCAATGTTTTACTGTTTATTAAACTTGGGGACAACATTACAACCTTTGTATTCAGCTCATGCTGCTTTGAGGTAGGGCTAAAAGAAAAGCCTATTTTAAATATTTCCACCAGATTTGATCATTTTTTATTTAGGTTAAAGTTTATTTAATTTATCCTAATCCCATAATAATAAGACAGTCAAAAATAGAGAGCAGCCTTTAGCTTGATGTTAGTTTGTGCAGTGCTGTCAAAGGGATGCAAGTGTGACTGTCATTTCATCTCTTTAGTTTAAAAAAAACCAATCAGTACATCATTTTAAATGATCCTTTAGGGATTGTTTGTCTGAAATGCTTGGAGTTACATTTTGCAATAATACTTTTGCAACCCTGTGTTTAATATGATTAATTCACTTTTTTTCTCTTGTTTTTCTCTGTAATTAGGACAATTCTGGAGAAATGGATCTGCTGGAGAAGGACCCCTAACCCCAGCGGATCATCAGGACAGAGCTGCCATCCACCTGGACCCCCCGAGGTGCTGGAGAAAGCAAAACGGCGATCAGGAACATCCTCCACCCAGACCTCTGCTTACTGCCGTCCTACAGACTTGTCTTAGTTTCAGAATTTGATTTTGTATGTGTCCTTTCTTTTAATAGATAGATTTTTGTGAGTACAAAATAAAACAAGAAGTGGAACATAAACTAAACTAACATGAAACATGAACATGACAATCACAAACATGACAAAACTAACATATTTGACGGAACACAACAAACGGGAAACAAGTCAAACAGATGACTTAACACTTATATCCTTTCCTCTTGTTCAGTTCCTTATTTTTTTCTAAAACTTGTATTTTTTTCATCAACACATTTTACAGTAACTTACTAAACCCTGACATGAAAGATTTTTTTTCTTTATAACAAAAGTGTAAAAATGTCACCCTAACCTTCCACATACAGTATTATTCTCTTTTTTTTTTACAGCATTAATAAAGTCCAAACATGGAAGGTTTTTAAACTGACACATCAGGATGCAATATTTTTATTTTACTTTAGTAGGAATACACATTTTACCAAGCAAATTTATTTTAGTATATTGTTTCTTTACTGTAATATTTATTTGTGTACACAACCAAATCTTTCTTAAGGTACAAGCTGTTTGTTTGTTTTGTTTAATATATGTTTTGTTTGTTTCAAGGACTGAGCACTCAACTGTAAAATAGATGATAAGTAGATACACAGTTTTATTCAGACATTTTTTCAGACGTTTTTCAGTGGCAGTTGCATTCTGACTCAACTGACTGGAGGTCACTTTCCTGTTCGCCTTTCTTATTTATAAAATAGTTTTTGATCACTCACCAGGAAGCTCTGTGGATGGCTGCTTCTTCAAGATCCTGACTTCAGAGTAAGTGGTTTCATGCGGTGAGGAAGCGTTGCCTGCAACACAAACCACGAAACAACCCAACTTTCTGTTAAATGAGCTCTGAATATGTACACATTCACATTTCACTCAAATGACAGAAACACATGCGTCTTTTCTTTTTTAGAAAAGGTAGGTTTTTGTTTTTAGGAATAGATACATAGATACATAGATAGATAATTAGATAGATAATTATAGGACTCACCATGAGTATTTCCCTTGTCTCTTTTGAACTTTACATCAGAGTACAAAACTTCAGCTTCAGGCATTTTATCGCTGTGATCATCAGTGTCTTTAAAAGGGAACTAAAGGAACTCTTCACTGCACACTGTTAAATTAAGAAAATGCTGGGGGAGGGCTTTATACAGAGTTCCTCAAAATCTAACAAATGTTATAGGAGTTATTGGTTTGTATTTTACTGCCAGCTAAATAAAAAAGTGATTTGATTTTAATTGTTTAGTCAAGATAACTTCAGTAAAATTATATTTGTGAACATTTTTGTCAATTTATTTGGATTTCTTCACAAATACAAAGAAAAAAAGAAAATTATAAGAATATAATAAAATAATACAGAATATTAAAAATAATTAAAAATATACTACATATATATATATATATATATTATCATATACTTTATAGAAATGTCACACGCATAATACTACATACATTCCTGATTTAAAAAAAGTAAAACATGTGACATTTTACATTTTTAAAATACTAAACACATTTGACAACAAAAAGTATCCAATAATGAGCAGCAACTAATAAGAAGAAAACATTTGACTGAGAAAACAAAAAAACCTTAATTATATCATCATCAATTGTTTCACGTTTTTTTATTTGTATTATAGTTTAATTTAATTTAACAAAAGAAACATTCCTGATGGACTCCATGTCGGATATTACACAAGAGCCGTCACCCAGATTTCCTCCAATCAACGCTCACAATTAGTGACAGAGCAGTCTCGCGGCCAATCACAACAGCATTAGAGGGCGGGGTTTAGTCGCTGTAGCAGACAGGAGGCGGAGACGTGTCCTTTCCTGGCTGAACTTGTGTGAGGTGTCAGTAGGACGACAGACAGACTTTATTAAAGTTTCTGCCCTGCTGGTGTCCCGCTCCAGACATGCCCCCCAGCGCGCAACTGAAGGAGGCGATAGCCGATGTGCAGGAGGGGATCCGTGCCATCCTGCTCGGACCCCCCGGAGCCGGGAAGGGGACTCAGGTGAGAGGAGGGGAGCTAACAGAGCTAGCTGTTAGCCCTTTGCGCATGGTCGGTATTTGTACAAGCTAATGCTAATGCTAACACATCTAGTTGAACTGGTTGTGTTTGTGACTTCAACTCTTAGAAAAAACACACATGGACTCTGTGTTGAGATGCGTTTTATTATTCTTAAATATGTCTGTCAGTTTCATATTAATGTTAACAACTATAACAACCTCATTCAATACCCGAGACATAAGAAATATAAATATAATGAGGCTATTTTGTCTGAGATGTCATGCTAAAATTCTACAGGTGTTGTTTTTGTAGCAACTGGGTAATACAGAGGAAGTTTAATTCCTACATCTTATCAAGTCTATTCAATCATTTATCAATTGTGTTTCACTGAAAAAGCAGAAGATATTACAAAAGTTGAAAATATTACCAAGCCTAATTTTTTACCTCCTTAAAGCCACATTATATTTGTTTTGAGGTGTGGTCAATGTCTGCTTATACCCTAAATGTACATGGTATGTTTCTATAGAAGTTGTTATCACTTAATATATCTTTATTTTTAACATACAAACATGTAAGTTTGTTACAAGAAAGAATACTTTTTACAAAGGAATCAGGTGGTGTTTCTTAGCTTTAGCCGTGCATGTTTCTATTGTTTTCCAGTTAGGGTGGTTCCTATTGCTCCTCGCTCAAGTTAGTCAGACCTTGGCTGGGAAATGTTTCTTTCCTAATTCTTCATAAGAAAAACAGTTATTCTTTTGGGCTTCTTTCACCAGTATGGGGATATGTGACCCATACCATGTTTAGCTGTATGAGCTGCTAACTCCCAGGAACTTAAAACTATTCACGTTTCTTTACCACCCCTCTATTGATGAAGACAGGGGTGTGTCTGCTGTGTCCTCTTGTGTAAGATTACACTTACAGGACAGGTACTGAGACAACAACATGTAGTTGGCATTTACAGAAATGAAAAAAGGCCAGAGTATGTTAACAGCATTTATAGACATTTAAAAACTTGTTTTAGCTGTGAATACACGAACATACTTTAAAGGAAAAAAGGTAGGAAGTGCAAATGGAGTTATTCACATAAAAGCCTGTTTATAAATGTCAGTTTTTCGAAGGGATTTCAAAGTTTAAGCTGATCTTGGTACACTGTTTGATTCATGTAATCCAACAATTTCAAAAAAAAACAGAGCGATTTCAAAATCCAAAACGCTACCTTTTTTTATTGGAAAAAAAATTAGAGGTAAACATGTCCAACATGTTGTTATCCAACCATATGAATGGTGCTTCAATCGATACTTATTGGTGTTTGAAAAATATTTGTACTACCCTCCATTTCTTGGCATGCATGTGGTTGTTCAGTACTCATGTGTGCAATGTATGGAGGGAAACTAAAGGCAGTGCTATGTCTTCGGTACCGGTGTGTGTTATCGTCTGCCGGTTCTATCCTCAATCGCTGTCACATTCATGCCTTTAATGACTCAGTGGAGTCCATAGAGGGGTTTCCTCTGCAGATTCTTAAAAAGGAATTACAAAATTATTTTCATGAAATTCTTGATTTTCTCATGCTGGTCTGGTCAAGCAAAAACTTTGGACGTTTCAACATTTCTCAGAATACTGAAAATTCCTCTCTATCAAGTTATTGTTTAATATCTGAGATTTTTCTGAGATTTAGATAAGATTAAACTTTATTAGAGGACAGGTGAGGATTGAGTAGTAGAATTCTCCGGAGTACAAAGTATTTCTTAAGGCTCTATGTTGATGTTGAAGCCTTCATGTTCAGTCCCACATGACTATATGTCTCATGTTTTACTTGTGCTCGACATTTACACCTAAATTGGCGTGTAGGAAAACATTTTCATGTGTTTTTAAGTAGGAGCTCAGGCTTATAAGAAGAAAATGGCAATGTAACTAATGCTCACCTGCAATAAGCAGCATCTGCTAGAGAAAGTATGTGCAATGAAGCCTGAATATGTAAAATATTGTTTTATCTGTTAGGTTTCTGTGGTGTCATCGCTAGTGGATTTGTATCAAATTAGATTATTATCTAATAACTGTTCACATCACAAGCAAATGGGTCCTGCTTTAATGTGGGGATTTGTTTTGGGTTTTATATCATTATACATTAAATACTTTGGGTTGTAAATTGAATAAAAAATAATTTAAAGATGCCATATTGTGATAAGCAGAGATTGAAATTTCAACCTTTGGCTGCGCAAGGCAAACATGGCAGACGGGGTTTCTTGATATAAAGGTTACTGATTACGTATATAACCATTGCTTAAGGAAGTCCAGCTGTCCAAACATTTTTCTTAAGGGCACGTAGTTGCATTTGCCTGTAAGAACCCAGCATGATAACATAATTCAGATTTGTATTGTAACTTTGTAGGACACAGTAACTTGTGTGGTGACACCAAAACATTTTCTCACTGACCTCCCTCAGTCCCACAGTGTTGTCTTGTCAGATCAGTTACAAATAGACTGACCTATGCGCTGGCATTACCTCAGTGTGTTCAGTCTCTCTGACGCTTTACGTCCTCTGTTCTCAGTAGAGCTCTCCTAAGATTGACTAGTTTTGGAGATGCATTCCTGTCTTTAGAGATGAAAGAATAACTCAAGCCAAAAGGAGTGAGAAAATGTATTGATCATTAATCATTATTGATAAATCTGACAAGGAAAATCAGGAAATCCTCACTGAAGAGGCTTGACAATAATTGTAGTGTCACTATTTCTTGTTGAAAAATGACAAACAGTTAACCGATAATCAAAAACCCTTTCCAATTATTTTTAATTAATCGTTTTATTGGCACAACTAAATAAGTTGTGGGTTGGCATGAAATCCAAGAATCTCTGCTGGTGAAAACGTTTGAGTCTGACAGCAAAAAACAAAAACTGCTTTCATTCTTCTCAGCGAACAATGCAGGTGGTTGGCTCTTTGACAGAACAAATCCCCTGCCAAGCACTTTCTTCATCTGTCAGGGTGGTGGTGATAATCTAAAGCTCTTAATAAATCATAAATGTCTCTTGTTCTCCCTGCAGGCCCCGCGGTTAGCAGAGCGGTACTGTGTGTGCCACCTGGCCACCGGGGACATGCTGAGGGCCATGGTGGCCTCCGGCTCGCAGCTCGGCAAGAAGCTCAAGGAGACCATGGACGCTGGCAAACTGGTAACTATCTGCTCCTCTGCTTCTCATGATCTGTGTGTTTCCTTTCTCTGCCTCTTCAGACCCCTCTGAGGCTCTGTGTTGATGTTACAGCCTTTAATGTTCAGTCCCTCATGACTTCATGTCTCATGTGTTTGTCTTCAGTGACATTCACAGCTGAAATGTCTCTGAAGCACAAGTGTGCAACAAGTGAGAGACAGAAAACCAGACTTTTTCTGAGAAATGTTAATCTTTTGAGTTGGAGCACAGCCATAAATTGAGAAGTGTAACACTTACTAACACTTATTTGCATAGCTGCTAATGGAGTTTTGTTAAATGTAATTTAGACTGTGGTAAGACTGTACTGAACAGTTACCATCATAAAATTGACCTTGTTTTTTTGCATGTCTAAATGTGGTATTTCTGTTTGAATTAGTAGAATGAGTTTCTTAAAATGGCTGCGTAGGATTGTTTCATGTTATCCAAACAAGCGATTAAAATTACAAAAGTCAACCTTTTTATTGAAAAATACAAACTGTCCAGGTAAACATGTCCAACGTGTTCTTATCCAACAATATGTATGGTGCTTTTATCGATACTAAGTGGTGTTTGAAAAATGTTTTTACTACCCTCCATTTCTTGGCATGCATGTGGTTGTTCAGTACTCATGTGTGCAATGTACGGAGGGAAACTAAAGGCAGTGCTATGTCTTCGGTACCGGTGTGTGTTATCGTCTGCCGGTTCTATCCTCAATCGCTGTCACATTCATGCCTTTTAATGACTCAGTGGAGTCCATAGAGGGGTTTCCTCTGCAGATTCTTAAAAAGGAATTACAAAGTTCTTTACCTGAAATTCTAGATTTTCTCATGCGTTCTGTCTAGATTAGCAAAAACTTTGAATGTTTCAATATTGAAGAAAAATGATTTCAAAACTGACAATACTTTTCATCCCACAGAATAAAATAAAATGTTCTTTTACCGCAGTCAGAAAGCTGTTAGCACAGGGAGGCACAATAGCTAACATTAGTAGTAAAACAACACTAATAATTATCTATTTTGGCTCAATCACAATTCAAGTTAATGAACACTTTCTCAGTTAATCCGATTAATCACAAAAATAACTTCAAAAACATTAGCAGCAGCTTCAACAGAAGGTTAACCAATAAAAAAACTGTTGGTAAAGCCCATCTTCCACGTTGTTGTTTATTGACTGTAACACTTTCTTTTACTCATAATCCTACTTTTCTTTTATTTCATTCCCTTGTAGATGTTAAACTCACACACTGAGATTTAAAGGGGACCTATCATGCAAAATGTACTTTTTGATGTCTTTTATACATGAATACATGAATATGTGTCCCCGGTGTGTCAGGGAACTCAAGCAGTGTCAGAAAATAAAACTCTTTTCCTCCGTACCCAAATCTCTAAAAACGGGGGTACAATGGAGCTGATCCAGATTTGCCGCCGATATAGAGTGGCGAAGTCCCTCCCCTTCCGGTGGACCTCCATGGGACCTTATTTCGGAAAAATTATGTATTGAAGTCAATGGAGAGAGAAAGATTATCTTTCGATCCCGTTTGAATTGTACCACGAATTACACATATGTTGTTTGTCAATTTAAAAGATAATTTTGCAAGTCAAAAAAAAAGTGTCGTAAAACTGTGAAGGAACACTTTTGTTTGTGTGAAACGCTCAATGAACTACATCTCTGGTCTCGCACAACAACACAAGTCACCAAGATGGCCGTCACTACTGTCTTGTCAAAAAAGGGATTGACTATACCCTCACTATCGCCAGAATGAAACGCGTCCAGAAGAATGTCATGCAAAGCTGCCTGCCTGCCTTCCTTTGATTCTCTCTGAACTGCCTGGTCGTTTTAATGTTTAATGTCAACCATTTGTGCAGATAGCATGAAGTAGAGAAGATTGCCGATGCTAATGTAGCGTTAGCATTTCTCCCCCGGCTTAAATGGTGTATTATAGAATGATCACACCGGTGTGACAGTACTCTTCAAAGGGTTCACGAAATATGACTACTACTCTTACTGTTTAACATTTTGGGTTACTTAATGTTACTTCATGTTAAGGCAAATAAAAATGACAGCCTCGAAATTTCCTATGTATCCTGGACATTGGAACAGTCCTTCGGCGGGACTCGATGACGTAGCATGAGCCGGCAAAAGCTCCGCCCCCTCTTTATTTCAGTAAAAAAAAAAAAAGAAGCTTTATTTTTTTTATTTAGCCTTTATTTATACAGGCGAAGATCTCATTGAGACACAGGGTCTCATTCTCAAGAGAGACCTGTTTATACCCAGAATCAGCACTTTTGGAACAGGAAGAGAAATAGAGGATATGAGCAGTGTTGGGACTAACGCGTTACTGTAACGCAACTACCTTTTGCGGTAACTAATAACGTTACTAGTTACCTATTCCCATTCAGTAACGCCGTTATAGTTACTGTGATTTAAATGGGTGCGTTACTGCGTTACATTATGTGATCCAACTGAACCGAATCTCCCTGCGGATGTAACTTACAGGCGAATACAGTGATGTCCTCTCACAGTACCATGGAAAAGTGAAAGTGACCAGAGAGGAGTGGTGATTGGTTAACGCAGGGTAACATTTCAGGGTAAGCCAATCAGAGACAGAGTTGGGCGGGTCTTGCCTTATGGGGAAAATACACAGACACACAAACACTTGCTAACACACACACATACACGGCAATGCCCACCACCAGCGCACACACACAATGGCAGATGCGAGAGCAGCAGCGCATTTACAACTTGGAGATATAACCACTATTTTCAATTTGTGGGGATAAAGGACGCAAAAAATATTACGGTGAAATGTAAACTGTGTGCAGGACAGAAAGCATTGTCCACATCGAATAACAGCAATGCCAATCTCCTGAAGCACCTAACTAATATACATGGGGCTATAAAACTAGTCACCAAAGACCTCACGTCTCAACCACCGGCAGTGACCCAGATGGAGCAACACCATCTAAACAGCCAAAAAACGATTTTTTTTAAATCGCCACATGTCACCCAGAGTCAACTAAACAGATTGATTGCCAGGTATGTTGTTGAGGAGGCTACAATAAAGATGCCTGTCAAAATGTCTAAACATATCTTTTGTGTTTTATTGTTCCACTACATTTCATAATGATAATTGCTACAATGATGGGGAGTTGTCTTTTCTCTTACTGTGCCACAGAACAACACAAAAACTTGTATTTTTATTGTTATTATTTTTAAAGTAAAGTAACTTGTTACTAGTTACTTTTATAATTTAGTAACTAATAAAGTAACTAGTTACTTTTTTGAGAGCAGTAACTATAACTATTACTTGTTACTTTTTAAAAGTAACTTGCCCAACACTGGATATGAGGCATGGCTGGAATGGGTGATCCGTTTGGTTTTTTGACCAAAACACTTCATAGACATGTTTTTTATATTTTTTTTATATATCTGAGACCTATGCTATTGCCTAAAAATAGCATGTGTGGTGATGTGTGTGTGTGTGTTCAGTACGGTGAGTCTTTCTGAACTTGTTGCATAACCTCTCTCTGTCTCAGCATGTGACTGATTTCCTCAGAGCTGTTTGTCTCTGTGTTTGCTTATATAAAGTCTGTTTTTCTGGCCTTTTATGAAATGACACCTCTCCCTTTATTTCCTCCCTGTGTGGCCGGGGAAGAAATCCCTGTCCACATGTTGTTTTCTGGCTCTTGTGCAGAGCTGTTGCTATGCAGATAAAAAGATGGATGAGGATATGTTGCTGTGTTTCAGGTCAGTGATGAGATGGTGGTGGAGCTCATAGAGAAGAACCTGGACTCTCCGCCCTGCAGCAACGGCTTCCTGTTGGACGGATTCCCTCGCACAGTCAAACAAGCAGAGATGGTTAGTGTTTATAAAGGACATTATTCTCAGCACCTCTATTCACCCTCTGTCTGAAACCAGAGCCCATTCTGCTTCGATTGGTTAGCTGGCCGGCTCTGTTCTGATTGGTCAACCGTTTAGAGATATCCCACCCCCTTAAACTATCACATACAATGTGTTCAAGCGCTAGCCAATAGAAGTGCAAGTGTTGCGTAGTGATGTCACTATGTTATGTGTGTGTGGTAGAGAAACTCCCTCTGTGGGGAACTTTGGGATTTTAGCCTTTGCAGACCATTTACATGCACCAAAACCTATAACACTCTACAGGAAAGGGAAAACCCCCCTAAAACATGATATGGCCTCTTTAATGTGATGTTATACTTTCTGCTCTTATCTTGAGAAACACAACTACAGTAGTTTCACATTTTAGGAAATTTGTTCTACAATTTAAACGGAATTGAAAGGGAGGCTACAACGCAAGCAGGACAAACTGTTTGCGTCGCTTTCTTAAAATGTAAGGTCTAAACAAATATAAAGAGCAACAGAAAGATGGAAAGATACACCCTACATTTTTAAAACAATTATAAAATGTAGGATTATTTCTAGTTGGTGGATGATCAAATATAAGTTTGGAATAACTTAAGAGTATCAATAATAATAAAGGTATATCTCTAATAACATGTTGCAAACTAAAGCATAGATGTTTTCTTCATTAGTAGAAAGGAGAGAAAGAGAAGCCTGTTTTTGTTTCATGTGGAAGAGGCAAATTGTAAAGTAAAAGCAACCATATACTATTTGAAAATGTACATTTTAACAGTAAAACACTTCTATTTAACATATCACTTGCATATGTAACATGTCTGACATTAAGCTGATGTCTTCATTTAATCTAATCATTATACCAGACAAAAAGAAACTATAAAGCTTTTTTAACAGTATTTTTGTCTCTTGGAGCTGGACGATTTGTTGGACAAGAGACAAGAGAGCCTGGACTCGGTGATCGAGTTCTCCGTCGACGACTCTATGTTGGTCCGCAGGATCTGTGGAAGGTAGGACAATTAATTATTCACCACCAGGGGAGGGATGCAATCTGTTTTATTTCCCAGGCACAACAACGGGTAATGAGCTCCCAGGATGGAAAAAGCTCCTCATTCTCTCCGAGTGTTAAACCCATCCATAGATTAACTTATTTAAACAGAAGAGACTGGGACAGTGAGATAATGCTGGAGAGAAGTGGAGCGTGAAAGCATGCGATTAACTGAGGAGGAGGCCGGAGAGCGTCCTGCAGCTGCAAGGTCGCAGGACGCATCCTTAAAGAAGCCGATGACTGCCGCGGCTGCTCGTGCCTTACTGTATTTTTAAACTGTGTCGGAACGCTCCTTTTCATGAGTCTCCAAAGAGATATGTGAAGAACAAAAAACGTAATTATTAGAATTAAGCTACAGCTCCCCAGTGACTTTCAAACGAACAGGGAAACATGCTGTTATAGTAATGAAGCTATCAGAAACAAACCGGTGCTTTTAAGAAATGTGGCCTCTTCACTATAAGGCAACAAAAAACATTCAAATATATTTTAAGTTTAGTTTTGAGTGTTAAGATAAAAGACACACTGTTATGTTTATGGTGTTCATACATTTTTCACAACAGTCACCCAAGCCTTTATAAAAGCATAGTTCTAGAGCAAATTGTGTTCATTTTATTTTAGACGGATTGAATTTGTGACGTTTGTCTAGGGAGGTCAAAAGCATCAAAACTCTGATATTATTTTGTGATATGACCTGTATTTCTAACATACTGTAGGTACCAGAGGTGGGAGTAAGTCCTACATGTGCAAGTCATGAGCAAGTCTCAAGTCTTGACCTACTGAGGCCTGAGGACCACAGATGGAAATTAGCTATTAGCTATAATCTGGCATATTGCATCTCTTCTCTTTGCTGAGATTAATCTTTTTGTATGCATGGTCCTTCTATAAATAAATACAAGTATCAAGCAAGTCCCAAGTCACTGTGGTGAGAGTCAAGCAAGTCAAGTCATTGCTCAGGTCAAGCAAGTCAAGTCAAGTCATACGAAATTCTGATGAATAAGCCCAGTTTCTGCATTTAAATCAGTTAAAAGACAGTGGTTATGAAAATGGATTGAACCCACACTATGATCTTCATTACATACACAGTTAATCATTTGAAATCTAATTTAGACCGATGACAATCATATTAGATTCATATTAACCCTAGAACTGCAGACAATATGGCTAGGACTCAGTCAAAAAGTCTGTTAAAGGCAGAATTCCAGGTAAGAAAATCATATATGGCATTTGCCATTACACATATTTAATTTACATTTCTGTTAACACTAGAACCGCCAACAGCGTCAGCACCTACATAGATATCATTTTCAAATCATTTAATTTGTTCCTCTTCATAATTTCCTTATAAACTAAGTAGGACGATTTAAAACTCACTTAATTGGGTTAATCTAGAAATGGCTTCAGTTTATCATCATAACAGATCAAAAAGTTCAGATTCATTTTACAATAAATCAAGGAATGATGCACTTCTACAAACAAAAACAACATAATTAAAACATTTAAACAAACTACTAAAAGTAGATGAACTACATTATTCAACAGTTTACAGTAACTTCTGATAATAACACAGGGGAAATAGAGGCATCTCTTTTCCTCTCTCTCTCTCCCTCCTGACAGCCCGTCAGTATCAGGGTTAGTACAAATGAATCCCTTGGCGGTTCTAGTGTTCATTTACCGTTTTGTCTTCTCTTTGCAATGCTTAATCGATTTGAAACCAAGTCTAACGTAGCTTAAACTTAACGTTAGCTTTCTAGCTAACACAACACATTCACGCACCTTTCTCTGTGGGTTTTTTTGTAGTGACGAATGAAGTTGGATGTTGTGGTGGTCCTGTCACTGATCTTTATGCTGCAGACCCTGCATACCGCTGTTCTCTTCTTATTAGCGTCATCGACAACATAATCCTTGAATCCAAACTTCACTATTTGCTAGCCGCTGCCATGTTAACTGACAGTCCTGCCGTCTAGTGGGTTGCCAGGTTTGCACGCATGGCGCTATAATCACCCAATCACGTTTGGAAAAAACTAAACGTAATATCTCACTACAAAAACAAACGCAAATATTTAATTTTAAACAGTCAAGTCCTTTCAAGTCATCTGTCTCAAGCTTAAGTCAAGTCTCAAGTCATGAATACCAAGTCAAAGTCAAGCCAAGTCTTTTATCAATGTTAGTCAAGCAAATCTCAAGTCCAAAAATATGCGACTCGAGTCTGACTCGAGTCAAGTCATGTGACTCGAGTCCCCACCTCTGGTAGGTACCATACGTATACTTATCAAGGGGCTTGAGAATTATGGCATCCTGTCAACATTTAAAAAACTAAAATGACCCCCCCTAATAACGCAACATTGTAAACAAAACATCTGATTTGATATCAGCAGAAGGAAAGATAGTACATGTAAGCTGTTGGCAGCCAGTATGCGAGATGCTGTTGACTTGCATTATAGTTTGGTAGAGCTCCTTTAAGTTAAAATAAGTATTCACATTGTGGGATGTTGTGATGTGTCTGCGCAGTTGGGAGCGCTTGGTTGTGGTGCTGCTTCATTCTGTCTAACATGCACTACCCCACTGTCTCATTGTGTCGGTTTGTGTATTTATCCTTCATGTTGTGCGTTTTCTCAGAGATTAGGTTGTATGTGTGCAAATGTGGTGTATATTCTAATACATTTAAATAAGTATTTACATTGTATAGTGCAGGGGTCGGCAACCCCTGGCACGCGTGCCACCAGTGGCACACTAGGAATAAGTGTGCAAAATATTTCAATTGTATTTTCGGATCCTGAACGAGACCGCCGGAAGAGCGCGTCTCCCCCTGCAGAAGGAAGCCATGCACGCAACGCAGCGCAGAAGGATAACTTCTAGGCCCCGCTCTCTTTAACTCCAGTCGACTTTCTGCTGCTTTCCTCCATGGTGAAACGACCAGGGGTGTAGCGCACTTCACACATTGCATTACCCATAAGGAGCTGTACATGCCGCAGTTTTTGCGTGGCTGTGTCTTTAGTTAAAAACCCAGTGGCGATCTGCTCATCTGTCATCGAAAATAATATGCTACACAGGGGCGGACTGGCCAACTGTGTGTTCTGGAGAATCACAGTACGTCCGGCCGTCAGAGAACCGAACCGGTCGCCAGCGGGCCGTTGACGACCGGGCTCGGTTCTCTGACGGCCGGCACCGCCCTTTATTTATTTAACTGTGTTTAAACTGCATCATGTAAATTGCACCAGAGTCCTGCATCGGGTCGGGTGGGTTACCCGCAAAAAAAGTGATTCCCGGGTGGTATTTTTTCAAATGCTTTTTTCCGGGTTCGGTTCTGGGTAAAACAAAGATGATGCGGGTCGGGTCGCGGGTGTTGCATAATAAATATATTAAAATAATAATAATTTAGTTTAATGTTTAAATCCTCAGACCTCTCCCCCGCGGGACCGCGCATAATCATAACCTCTGCAGCGCATCAATCTGCTGCTGAGCACGCCACATTCGAAATGGCTGAGGCGAAGCTCGGAGAATACAGCATTTTCAATAACACTTCCTCAAGAGGGAAATCCAACGTCTGGGAGGCTTTTGGTGTCATCCTAGATGGAGAAAATAACCAACATCCCATGCTTTTTGAGACAAATATGCAACTGCGTGTGTTAATAATTGCACGTTTTCACTGCTCATATATATGCGGGTTCGGGTCGGGTTGCGGATCTCGTGCCGACGGGTCGGGTCGGGTTGCGGAACTAATTGGCAATATGTGCGGGTAGCGGGGCGGGTTCGGTATTGCACGTTGCGGGGCGGGAGCGGGTCTTGAAAATCAGACCCGTGCAGGACTCTGAATTGCGCTGACAGGCGACAGAGGTCCACAGCTACCCCGCAGCGAGGCTCCTCCCGTTGACAGTTAAAAACCTGTTACGCACCGCCCCCCCGGTACCGGGCGGATAAACGCGTCATTTGCAGGAAACAACGTCTAAGGAATCTTAATATTGAATAAAACTATGAATGTGTTATATCCATGTAACGGGAAGAAACTCAGCTAACTGATCTTTTTAATTTTTTTTTTTCAAAAAAACCCCACATTGCTAGCACTCAGCCTCTGAATTAGCCTCAAGCGAAAAAAACGTAACATACTAAGGCAACTAAACTCACTCTAACTCCCTTATTACTTATCCTAGATGCACAACCAACCACTCTTTTTTGGTGTCCTGGAGACACTGAATCTAACGGTGGCCTCCTCAACACTCAGTGATAAACATTCGCGACGCTATCAACGAAAGAGTACATCATCACATGTGGAGCTAAGTAGCTAAAAACGGTAATATATCTTACCTTGGTCAAAAGTGGTCTTCAATGGCATTAAAACGATAAAAAAACGATGCTGCAGTTAATCCATAGGTTCATCCAATGTGTCTGTGTTCCTTTGAAATTATTTCTGATAATCCATGAGGAATGAAATTGATAATCCATGTTATTCCGTTTCTAGATGTCAGAGCTAGACTGTAGCTTCACTCTAATGCAAAATTACATGCGCAAAGCCCCCACCATTTTTCTTCATAACGTGTGTGGGTGTGTGCCTCCCCTTCGATTCTATTGGCTCTAACGGTCACAAGGGTGTGTCAACCAACCAAATCGACCAAGGGAAGCCAGAGATATGTAAAAAAAAACATTTTCACCCAAATCACCTCAGAGGTGGGGGTTTTTGGCTAAACCTCTCTAAAAAGGTCAAATGTCACTTGTTTTGCATCAATCTTGATACAGGGTACTTATTATATGTTGTACTTTGGATTCCTAAAGCTTTTAGTCTACTAACCCATCATCCAAGGGTAGTTTTCACTATCTGTAAAAAATAATTTTTGGACGGACACTATAATTTACAGTTTTTTACTATGTAAAATCTGAATTTTCTTTAAAATAAAAAACATTTATATTGATTCTGACACTTCTACATCCAACTCACAGGTTTATCATTACTTTGAGAACAAAGATTATTAATTTAACCCTTTTTGAAGGGAAGATATGGTCATTTGTTCTGGGAATGTCATTTTCGAGCCTGAGACCTGAAAAACAGGCTCAGAGTGGAACTTAACAAACGTCGGCACACTAATCTTCTTTTTTTTTTTTTAAATGGCACTTCGTATCAAAAAGGTTGCCGACCCCTGGTATAGTTTAATGCCCTGCTGCCCTTCTGAAACACACCACCACGCCCATAGCTCACAGTCAGTCCATTCATAGTCCATATCATATTCTGTTCAAATGTATTCTTGTAAAACTCTGCTTTTTTTGTCAAGATGGAAGATGTTTTCACACAAATAACACATAAAGTAGATATGGAAACTTGTGATTTTTCTAAACAACAACCAAACTATAAAAAGACGTGTATGTTGAAGTAAATAAAGGGCTGTGTCTTCATTGATTATAAATCAGTGTGATTATAAATCAACAAAAATGCCAAAAAAAAATCCTTAAATTGTAGCTGCATTAAATACATAATTAAATGATCAACTGACACTCATGGCGTCTTTCTACTGCATGGTGCGGTTCAATCAGACATGACTGGCCTCGCTTTTTTTGGATTTCCACTCCAGATCAAATGATATTTAAAAATGCTGAAAATTAAGGAAATGAAAAGAGGTCACACATTGGTCAGAGAGATTTGTCACAAGGGCGTCACAGTACATCCTCCACATTTGAAAAAAAACTATAAAAAAAACGTTACAATATATGGCATTTCATTTTTTTAATATGAAATACTACAGGGTACAATTGTGTACCGAACATAATGGAATTTCTCTGGCATTGGTATGAGCTGAAACCTTTCTGGTATTGTGACAGACTCGTTTCGACATGTGCTGACCTTTAAGAGTACAGAGACAAATGGGGCACACCATCCATCAGCTGATTTATCTTTAGGGCGACAACATTTCATTTCATCAACATGTAGTTCAATCTCCACAGTTAGGCTAAGAAAGGGCTAACAGCACAACCCAGTGGTTTCGGTCGTTTACTGAAAACATGTCAGTCGGTTAAAACTGGATTAAACATTGTTCTCTTAAAAACGAGATTATAACTTATTTTAATGCTATTACCTTGTTTTTATCATGACCATGTTTGAACAGGTGCAATGTTTCCCATTAATTGGATGTGTGAATAATAGGAATCACTAGCGATGTCTGTAAAGGTCATCCATGTAATTTACCAGGAATTATATGTGAAAGAGGATGTCACATATATTACTGTGTTATTTCATAGCTTGTTAACCTCTGCTAACGTACCAGTTTGGTAGGGATGCACCAATGTCAAATGTATCTGCAGATGTTTAGAGTAACACCTTTGCTGATGCCCTCCATTTCTTGGCATGCATGTGGTTGTTCAGTACTCATGTGTGCAATGTACGGAGGGAAACTAAAGGCAGTGCTATGTCTTCGGTACCGGTGTGTGTTATCGTCTGCCGGTTCTATCCTCAATCGCTGTCACATTCATGCCTTTAATGACTCAGTGGAGTCCATAGAGGGGTTTCCTCTGCAGATTCTTAAAAAGGAATATCAAAGTTCTGTTCCTGAAATTCATGATTTCCTCATGCGATCTGTCTTGATAAGCAAACACTTTGGACTTTTCAAAATGTCTCAAAATATTGAAAATAATTTATTCCAAAACTGACAATACCTTTTATCCCTCAGAAAAGAAAACATATTTTTACTGCGTTCAGAAAACTGTTAGCTTTCTTGCTTGCTGATTTTAATTAATTTTTATAAATTATAAAAATATTAACTTTGTTTTAGCCATCTTTGAATGAGCACAAACTTCTAAAACTCTGCTGTACTATATTCTCAATGAGGAGATTTTATATTACAGCAATCGGTGAATGCATTTAATTCCGTTTCTGTCATAATTATTTTTCCTCCTGCAGTGCTATTGTGCATAAACAGTTAAATATAATACATGTCATTTAACAGGGATAGTTTTTGTGTGTTTGCCACAGACAGACCACTTCTCGGGTCCATGTTAATTCTGTTCTGACGACAGAGACCGCAGCACTCTGCTGACACACGGAGACTGAACTTTAGACAAAGTTAGGAAGTTGTGAAACATTTCTCATAACTCAAACACTCTCTCAATGTTGGACTTCATTTACCATTCCTGAAAACACATGCTATGCAGGATATCCTGCAGCATCCCCCCCCCGCAGCAGTAGCAGCTCCACACAGAGCAGAGGAGACGAGCTGTGAGTTACTGTAAAGTTATGGCAGTGCCCTCAGTCAGTGTTCTAAAGCCTCAATATGACGGACAGACTTCACATTTGTCCGTCATAATTGACAACAAGGAAGCTAATGCAACCTCTTCCAGTCAACGAGCAAAACGTAAACATCAGCGACTGCCATGGGCGCACGTCATCTTATTTGCCGATGTGCCAATGGAGGTGAATACTGCTAACATCGGCCGATGTCTTGTCGACGCATAGGTGCATCCCTACAGTTTTGTCCTTTCGCATATCTGGTTAAATAAGTAGACTTTTCCTCTTTGTCTTCATTTTGCCACAAGCAAAATAAGACAACCAACAGAAACCACTGCACAACCTGATTGTTTATTTCTCCACCTATTTTGAAAGAGGCTCTGATAGTAAATATTGCTGTTCTTTTCTAACCAGCTCTGACTCCTTTCATAATCTCTACAGGCTGAGGCCTGAAGAGAAAGCAAACACTTCTAAAAGTTTAATTGGCAGCATGTTGTTGTTTCCATGTCTACAGCCTCCACTGTGCAACAAGTCATGATTTACATAACCGGTTTCTGTCTGCGGGGTCCTTTTGCAAGGAGGAGGCCGCATGCTGCCTTTTTACAAGCCAAGTAGGGCAAGGGCAGCATGTGGGATGATAAAGGGACAGTTAAGCAGTTAGTGAGGCTGTGGCTACGTGGATGGTGTGCTGGACTTGGAATCAGGGGGTAGCAAGTTCGAGTCCCACAGCAGTCAGCATGTCGTTGTGTCCCTGGGAAAGACACTTCACCCCAAATTGCTCCTGTGGGGATTGTCCACAGTACTGAATGTATGTAAGTCGCTTTGGATAAAAGCGTCTAACAAATGTAATGTAATGCGAGTCACCGTGGCCGTCTAAACCTCATCCATCCTCCTCTGCTCTCACTCATATTTCTTTTTCGTCCTTGTCCTGCCTCTCTCACTGTGTCCCCTCCGTTTCCCCCAGACTAATTCATCAGCCGAGTGGCCGCTCCTACCACGAGGAGTTCAACCCCCCCAAAGAGCCCATGAAGGATGACGTAAGTAGTTTAACTATCAACCCACTTAGAAACCACTTCTGGCTAATCTGCCACCTACTTAAACTCACTGCCAAGTCTGAAACTGGTGACAATCAGCCAGCTTCAGACGCAAGCTGAATGTAGAAAAAATGTCCAGGGACATTTACTAAATGTATACATTAAGATGTTTCTGGGTATCATCATTTGGATGATACCCCGGTACCGGGGGCAAAACTCAACATCTTGCAAGAAACAGCGTCTGAGGGCTTCTTAATATTTAACAAACTATGAATGTGTCATACCCACTTAACGGGAAGAAACTCAGCTATCAGAGAATATTAACCATTTTTAGCTAAACGAAACACAAGGGTCATACCAAGCCTCTGAATTAGCCCTGAGCAAAAAAATGCTAACGCACTTAGCACAGAACTCATGGTAAAATATCCGTATTACTTATTGGATCTGCACAAACAATAGAGCAAGCTGAGATTCCACAGATTCTAGAAATATAAGTATCATCACTGAGCGATCAGAACTTGCGGCAGGGGAAGCAAACCCAGAACGTAGCTTTACGGAGGAAAAACGGGAGAAATGTCTTACCTTTTGCTGTTTCTGATCAAAAGTTGTGTTCAATGGCATTACAACGCTGCTGAAGCCGATGATTACTGATAATCCATCTTCATATTTATGTCAATAACGGAGTTTTCATATATAGTTGCTATGAGAGCTACGAGAATGTATGACAGCTTCCGGTTCTGGGGCATTCTGGCTACGCATCACTCATTCACCAATGGGTAATGTTTAGATGGAATTTAGGAACTTCCCCTCGATTCTATTGGCTCTAACGGTTAATAAGAGGTGTCAATCATCAAAATCGACTGAGGGGGGCCAGAGATATGGAAAATGCACCCAAATGACCCCAGAAGGGTTTGTTTTTTTCTAAATCTCTCTAAAAAGGTCAAATGTCACTTGTTTTGCATCAATCTTGATACAGGGTACTTATTATATGTTATAGTTTGGATTCCTAAAGCTTTTAGTCTCCGATCCCATCATTCAAGGGTGGTTTTCACTATAAGTAATGTTTTTTTTTTTTGGACGGACACTATAATCTTTGTTTTTTTATGTTCAATCTGAATTTACTTTAAAATAAAAAATTCTATATTGATTCTGACTTTTCTACATCCAAATCACAGGTTTATCATTGCTTTGAGAAAAAGGATTATTAATTTACCCCTTTTTAGAAGTGTAGATATAGTCATTTGTTCTGGGAATGTCATTTTCGAGCCTGAGGCCTGAAAAACAGGCTTGGGGCTTAACTGGTTGAATCTTGAATCACCACAAAGGAGTTGATTAACATGAAGAGACTCAATAGTTAAAGAAGATGACATCTAGTCTATTTCCTTCATTAAAGAATGTACAAATGTGTAAAAACACTGCAAATAAACGCATTCTTTTGTTTTGGTGAAAAGGAAAAACATTTCTCAGAGAGAATCCTCACTAGGGTATTACAGTACATCTCGCTCAAACACCTCATCTTACAATTATTAAGTGCAGACGTTCCTTTGTTTGGATTCCAAACAAACCATGGCATTTTCCAATAGTCGATCGTACTAGCTATACAGAAACTCTATGGCTGCCGACAAGTGCAAACACGCTTCAACGGCCCAAAACACCTGCACTTAAAAAAACTATGGAATTATAAAAACACAAATGTGCCAAAATACATGCAAATGAAGAAACCGCTTCACCAACTTGACAACACATGCACCACATTTAGAAAACATTCAGCAACTTCACTCAACATGTGCAGTGTTTCCTTAAAAAAACTCAACGGAAACCAGGGGACACTAAAAAGTGATGCCCACAGCTGGGACCGGAGCGCTTATTGACTTTCAGGGATTATAAAGCTTTCTAAATGCTACTCATGTTGTCAAGTTGGTGAAGATGTGTCATTTTGATGTGGTTTGGCACATTTGTGTTTTTTTCATTTGCATAATTTCTGAAGCTGCAGTGCGTTTCCCTGAATGGAAGTGTTTTAGGCTGCTGAAGCGCGTTTATACCTGTCGACCTCCGTAAACGCAGCTCAAAATGAGTGGAGTTGAGCTATAGCATGCATGTATGTGGCTTTAGGTTTAAAACTGAGGAGCATTGATCTGATTGTACAGGTTTCACAATCTCAGCCCGTTCTCTGTCTCTGTCCTTCTTCTCATGGGTTTCCTCTGCTCTTGTCTGCACTCAGCTGACAGGCGAGCCGCTCATCCGCCGCAGCGACGACAACGAGAAGACGCTGCATTCCCGTCTGGATTCCTACCACCGGCAGACCGTCCCTCTGGTGAAGTACTACAGCGCCCGGGGCCTGCACGCGGCCGTCAACGCCTCCCTGAGTCCCAATGTGGTCTTCGCCTCCATCGTAGCTGCCTTCTCCAACGCCACGGAACTCCCCGCCCTCGCCGTCGCCTGTAAAGACCAAGTTTCCTTCATTTAAACCCTTTTTCTTCCTTCCTCCCTCCTTGGAGATTATACAAGAGCTGATCAAGTTTAACAGTGGCAACAAAAAGTACCTTTGCAATCTAAAACATGGAAGATGGAGACTCAACTTGGCACCAGTGTGATCCCTGTTGTAGAAACAGAAAGGATGTAACGTTTTGTTTCTCTTCATCACAATATCAAATCTGAAAGAGAACTAATCAATAATCACAACGCAAGCTGAGCTCTACGCTGCTTCTGCCTTTCGCTTACACAAAATAAGATTAAATGTTTTGACATTTAGCAGAGCAGAATGCCATGCACGTTTCTACAGAGGCCTTTCACAGGAAGGCGTTTGAAAGTATTGACGTTTGCCGCACATTGTTTGCCCTCGCTGGACAGGTTTGCTCTTGTTTAATTGATGACTCTGCCCTTTTCTCTCCCTCAGTCTCTGATTCTCATGCACAGACTGTACATTAGGACTCCTGTTTTCCCCATCAGCTACATTTCCTCCTCTTTTCATGCCTTTCATGTAGAAAATATTACAGACTTGCATTGTTTTACCTGCCAGTCATTTTTAAAGTACTTTTAATGTTCTTTAATTAGTTTTGATGTGTAGCAGTGGAGAAACCATCAATGTTGGTTTCATTTGCAGTTAGAAAACCACAATGACAATTTTATTTTACAATACTAAGGGAAATAATATAATGCATGACCTTATTGCTGAAAAAATATCCTATAAAAGCTAAAACGGGGAGGAGAAAGTAACATTTAATGAAACCTTAAATCCAACATTTGTAATTTGCATAGCCTTTATTTATATAGAAATATGGCATAGTGACTTCATCATAGTCTCTATACGGTATCAGAGGGTTTCACACTGAGACAGGCTAACTGAATCACGGCTATTTAAAACAGTTGACACCCGATTTTCTCACTTTGCTTAAAAGAAATGCAGGACTTTTTATAGTCATTCATAAACTTGCCGTTTGCTTTTATATTCAGTTGGACTTTTTCTTTCTGAGAGCCTCATTATCCCTTATGCCCAGGGAAATAAATAATAAATACATGTAAGAAATGTCCTTAAATCTACAAAGAAAGTCTTTGAAACAAATTGAACTTAAAGTAATAAAATGTTCTTTATTAACAAATATGTACATATAATAACCAGCACATTTATGCATACAACTATAAAAATAGTACTCCAACTTAAAACTCAAATCATTCAATGAAATCCATCCTGATCTTTTGAATATTGTGCATTTTTTATATTTATTTTTTCCCTTTTTATGGCACATTTATTTAAAAAAATGGTGTGTGGGGCAGTTGAGGGAGGGAAAAAATAAAATAAACTAAACTTCTTTTAGAGACCCTGGATTCTTTACAAGTTATTAATTTAATATAACATACCTGTATTCTTTTTTTTTGTCGCGTATTATTGACATATCAGTATTTAAAAAATAAATAAAATGTAACTTGATATCAATATAGAGCTACATCCCTAGTGAGTGATCCAATACTTGACCAAATGATTTTATTTGAGGAGTTGTTGTTTTTTTGTCAGACTTTGTTAAAACCTATCAGTAAGATGTATTGGTTTAATGTTGCTAGGTTTGAATCTTAGACTTAAGGGGTTCAAATAATGTGTATCTGACTGTGTTCATTGGAACCCAGGATGTACTTCCCTTTCTTCGTCGATCCTTCTCTATAATCTGCTGCCTCCTTCCTCATACTGCTGTCCCTCTGGCAGCAACATGAATGAACTTGTATACACTTCTGAGACCGTACTGGTAAAAAAAAAACTGTATTTAATTGTTAGCTCATTTGCTAAATCAGTACTGTGAAACAGACTGTACCAAAGTAGCAGAATTGTTCCTTGTTTAGACCTTCCAGTGTGTTTGAAGTTATCTCAAATGTGGCTCTACCCCTTTAATGGTTTTACACGGTTTAGTAATGTGTGGTTTCTGCTCTCATTTTCCTCTCAAGTGATGCATGGGACTTCCTGTTAGTCTTCTCTGGAATTTTATCGGAACAAACTATTTCTGAGAAGCTATTTTCCTCAGTATCCATTAGTGTGAGCGCCACAAACAAAACCGGTAACACTTTCCGCCATGCCCATATTCTTTGATGCATTATAACCCCAATTATGTTTAACTATAATTTACTCATATCACTGTATTATTATAAGCCACATTTGTATAGTTTTTTACAATAATTATAACACGTAAAGCATTTTATATGTAGAGCACTTGTTGAAGCCCTTTTTGAGATGTACCTAATCCCTCTGGAGGGAACACTGGGATTTGAGTCTTTGCAGACCATTTACATGCACAGAAAACTATGTAAAACTGAATAGGGCTATACTTAAACATTTGGAAGTGTGTTCTTTTTCACAGGCCTGGTGGATAACCACACTTTAATTTTGGACTCAACGTTTTAATGCTGCTCCCAGAAGTCGTTCTTTTTGTTCCAAAGGCCTGGAGTTGCTTACTACGTTTTTTTTTTCCCTTTTCCTGACACTGGAACCAATGGGAGTTGTTAAAATCAATTCTTAAAATATCAACAGAAAGCAATTGTCCTCCGGTGAAAGCCAACCTTAAGGAAACTCCTCTGAACACTCAAGCGGCTTTGGAGGATTTGCCCTTGAATCGTCTCTTCCTCCTTCACCTTTGCGTTTCCTCCTCGTCTCTGTAGTCACCTGCTGTTGTTGTACAGTGGAAACATCTTGCATGCAGACTGTCACCTGCACTTTCCCCTGAATACTGATGTCTCTATTCTCACCGGGGTTGTTGTGATGAAAAACAATAGCAGATGTTCAGGAGGCCCAGTAGGCAGATTTGTGTCTTATTCAGCTCAACCAGGCAATTTCATGCCAAGTTTCCACTTTTAATATCCTTTCCTGTGCTCAATGATGCCTTAGTTACTTCTTTATTTATAACTTTTAAAGCTATGAACGTATAGATTTTGAAATATGACGGCTAACCTTGCTGCTTGTTTTGGTAAATGTTTGAAAAGCTTAGTGTATATTGTATAAAGTGGGTTTATATGAGGTCACTATCCATAGTTAGTGTGCTGTAAAGTAGATGGTGGAGATGCACTTCCAATTTAGAGAAACAGACAATATTTACTGCAACAAAGCCAAGTAATGCAATGATGTGCCAGGGGCAGCAGCAAAATGTATTTAAGCTATAGCTAAAAAGAAATCAATAGCTGTTTGAGTTTGCTATTTAGAGAATATTTTCACCGCTTCACAATGTATTCAGACAGCTCTTCAAACGAGGAACTGAATCCGTTATCTATGCACTCTTCAAAGCCACCAGACTTGATTGGAAAAATGTAATTTTCCTTGCAGAACATGTGATTTACTGGTTAAATGACAGTGTGACTGGTGGATCATAACTAACCCTTTAAAACACATTGACAATAACACAAACAAACTTACCCACCTCTCACATGTGTTTGAGGAAGAACAACTGTTTTTGTTAATGGGATCTGGAGGCTCTTACATAGATAACAGCTTTAGATCCCCATAAAATGGCGTTTGGTCGTGGTGAAAATATAGCTTAAACTGATATTGGTGTTTTTAGGTGGCTTGAATATTTTTTTGCTGCTTGCCCCGTCTACTAAGTCCCTCATATAACTCCCACTTAGAAAATATCCAATCTATCCCTTTACATGAATGTGACTTTTAAATGTGCACTTTAAAGTCAAAGCTGGCAGTCTAAAAGCACTCAAAGTAGGACAGTACTCATTTTTTCGTGTATTGCGCTTGACATTTTCAGCAATTAAAAGACCAAACATTATGTTATTAGTCATAGTTTGTCATTTTCTCTGTCATTCACCCACATCGTTTCTTCTCATTTCTCTTCTAGCTGGTTGAAAGCTGAGCGGCTACATTCCCACCATGGAGGAGGGTTGGATTTGGAAAAAGATCTCCAGTTGGTTGACAGACAAAGGGGGTTCAGTTAATATAAGGAATCCTTAGACTTTGTAAAAGTTAAGGTTAATGTTGCGGTGCTGTCGGGCTCACAGTGGTCATATTCCTCATGTTTACCCTTCTAATAAAAATCATGCTTTCCTACAATATTTATATTTTGTGCACATTGTTGTTTTTTTTCAACCTCCCAGTGTGCAATCGACACTTCTACAATGACAGTTGTAAACAAAATTAGACATGACTTTGACCTGTTAGCTAATTACGTTGGCTGTAGAATAGACGAGGAAACTGCAGAGTTTCTTTGTTTGGAGAAGGGAATTCCTAAAAAAAAACTCAAGTTGAATATGTTTTTGTGTCAGTCCTAAAATTAGACAATGATTGATATTTTGGCCTGGTAAGGAAAGAAAAAGAGCTGTTTGTACATCACCTTTTAAACAATGAGGACATTTAATGAACTTTGCATGTTGCAGGGTAACCAACCAGGAAACAGCCAAAATCACAGCGTTTCTGGGCAATAGCAGCTTTTTCGTCACTGTGGTAGCCTACTTGCAAATTTGTGAACGTGGTTCCTTTTCCTAAACATAAAAGGCTCATGAGAAATGACCTCAAAATATGTAGACATTTAATTTAGAGGGTATTTGTTTCTGCAAAAATATTTTGAAGCCGCATCTACTGTACTGTCAGTCAAGTATGGAAGATTTTAAAAGGCATTTAAAATAAGGAACATGCTGATGTGTCCATTGAATTAAAAACAAATACAATGAAAGATACAAAAAAGATAAATGGAATTAAAATGAAATGGCAAATAAAGAGACATTGCTTCTTGCTAATAAAAGTTAGCGCTGAGCTTCAGTCTGCAATGTTCAAAACAACAGATAAAGCCAGAAATCTAGGTGTAGTCATGGACTCTGACCTGAGTTTCAACAGTCACATTAAAACAATTACTAAATCAGCCTACTATCACCTAAAGAATATATCCAGGATTAAAAGACTAATGTCACAGCAGGATTTGGAAAAACTTGTCCATGCTTTTATCTTCAGTAGACTCGACTACTGCAATGGTGTCTTTACAGGTCTCACTAAAAAATCTATTAGAAAGCTGATTCAGAATGCCGCTGCTCGAGTCCTCACTAACACTAAGAAAGTGGATCACATCACTCCTGTTCTGAAGTCCTTACACTGGCTTCCTGTGTGTCAAATAATAGATTTCAAAATATTGTTGCTGGTTTATAAAGCTTTGAATGGTTTAGGCCCAAAATACATTTCTGACTTCCTGCTAAATTATGAACCATCCAGAACTCTCAGGTCTTCAGGGACTGGTCAGCTTTCTGTCCCCAGAGTCAGAACTAAACATGGAGAAGCAGCGTTCAGTTATTATGCTCCAAATATCTGGAACAAACTCCCAGAAACCTGCAGGTCCGCTGCAACTCTTACTACTTTTAAATCCAGGCTGAAGACTTTTCTTTTTGCCGCTGCTTTTAATTGAACTATTCACATCTTAAACTGCACTGTAACTTTTAACTTTTATCCATGTATTTTTTCTTTTAATGTTTATTTTATTATCTTCTCTTTTTAATGACTGATTTTAAATGCCATTTTCTTAATGTCTTCCATTTTTGTAAAGCACTTTGAATTGCCTTGTGTTGAAAGGTGCTATATAAATAAACTTGCCTTGCCTTGCCTTGCCTTGGTTTCTCTTTTTAATAAACAATTTTTTTGCAGAAAAACTCCACAAAGAGGAAATAGGCTTTACGATTAAGACTCATTAAAAATAAGTATTTATATAGCCCAATATCACAAATGTTACATTTGTCTCTGGACTTCACAGTTTGTACAGAATATCAGTATGACAATACGACACCCTCTGTCTTTAGACCCTCACATCGTACAAGGAAAAACTTCCAGAGAAAAACCCCACAGTTTAAAGGGGAACATGGGAGAAACCTCAGGGAGAGCATCAGAGGAGGGATCCCTCTCCCAGGACGGACAGACGTGCAATAGATGCCGTGTGTAAATCGAAGAGATAATACATTTTACAGCGTAGGTAGACCAAATGTTTGGAAATGCATTTGTCGATAATAAGATGAATCCACGAGGATGTCCATAATCCTGTGGGAGCCATCAGGGAAGTAGTATGATGAGAGTCAGGCAGGACCACAGTGATAGGTTCAGCCACGACTCGAAGTCCAGAACTCAAATCCAGAACTCAGGATAGAGGATCCAGGACACAGGACCGCAGCAACAGGATCAGCCACGACTCAGGATCCCGGCGTAGATATAGACACCAAAAAGAAATTTGGGGGAAGCTGGGTTATTGGGAACATGAGAGTACGCAGGTACAGACAGACAGAAGGAAGAAGTAAGGTGTCCCCCGACAGTCTAAGCCTATAGCAGCTAAACTAGCGTGTCTACGTACATGCACTCCCTTAGGATAGGGTTAGGGAAAAGAGTAGGAATTAAGAAGTATGCGCCACATCTATACCATGAGCGCATTGCTCCTAAAAAGTTTTTTGGCACTGACACCAATCAACAGTTGTGCGTCGACTCGGCAGGGATCAAGGCACATATATGCCTCCCTGCTTCCACCGTCTACACACACAACCAAATTACATACCATCAGTAAGGAAAAAGAGTAAGAACTCAAATGTATCGGTGAAGAGGCACAACGTGTCTACGTCAATGCACTCTTATTAGATTATTTTATCAACTATAAGCTTTATCAAAAAGGAAGGTCTTAAGCGTACTCTTAAAAACGGATAGGCTGTCTGCCGCCCGAACACAAACTGGAAGCTGATTCCACAAAAGTCAAGCTTGATAAGAAAATGCTCTGGCTCCCATTGTACTTTTAGAGACTCTAGGAACAACCAACAACCCTGCCTTCTTGGAACGCAATGCCCTAGTAGGACAGTAGGGTATAATGAGTACTAGTTAAACCCTGAGCCTGTTTTTCAGGTTTCAGGCTCGAAAATGACATGCCCAGAACAAATGACTATAACTTCACTTCTAAAAGGGTTAAATTAATAATCTTTTCTCTCAAAGCAAGGTTACATCTGTGAGTTGGATGTAGAAGTGTCAGAATCAATATAGATGTTTCTGTGTCAGAGTAAATTCAGATAAAAAGGTACATTCTTAGCTCCGCCTACAAAAAACCCATTACTTATAGTGAAAACAACCCTTGGATGATGGATTAGTAGACTAAAAGCTTTAGAAATCCAAAGTACAACATATAATAAGTACCCTGTATCAAGATTGATGCAAAACAAGTGACATTTTACCTCTTTAGAGAGATTTATAAAAATAAAAATAATATGAAATCTCCGTTTTTTACATAAATATGCAATGATGGATTATCAGTAATCCTTTCAAAGTGACACAGACACATTGGATTAACCTATGGATTAACCTTCAGCGGCGTTTTTATCATTTTAATGCCATTGAACACGACTATTGATCAGAATAACAGCTAATTTGAGACGATTTCCCGTGAATGTTCCGTAATTCACGTGTTGTGACGTCTGTGTTTGCTTCCCCTGTCACGAGTTCTGATCGCTCAGTGATGATACTTATACCTATAGAATCTGTGGAATCTCAGCTTTAATTTGATCTTGTTTTTGCAGTTACGATAAGTAATAAGGGTATTTTTACCTTGAGTTCTGTGGTAAGTGTGTTAGCATTTTTTCGCTCAGGGCTCATTTAGACGCTTCTTGTGAGACTTGTGTTTTGTTTCGGTAAAAATGGTTCGTATTGTCAGTTAGCTGAGTTTCTTCCCGTTAAATGGGTATGACACATTAATAGGTTTTTAAATATTAAGAAGCCCTGAAACACAGTTTCGTGAAAAAACACCCCACTGCCCCCTGTACAGGGGGCTCTAGGGCTTAACAGGTTAGATGGCGCCTGTCCATTAAGGGCTTTGTAGGCGAGAAGAAGAATTTTAAATTCTATCCTGTGTTCTATAGGGAGCCAGTGTAAGGCAGCCAAAACTGGAGTAATGTGGTCCCTTTTCCGAACTCTAGTTAGTACACGTGCTGCAGCATTTTGAATTAGCTGAATCGACTTAACTGACTTTTTGGTACACCCTGATAATAAAGAGTTACAATAATCCAGCCTTGAAGTAACAAATGCATGGATTAGTTTCTCTGCATCGTTTTGAGGCCTGATTTTTGCAATGTTACGTAGATGAAAGAAGGCGGTCCTTGAGATTGATTTTATGTGGGCGTTAAAAGATAAATCCTGATCAAATATAACACCAAGATTCCTTACAGTCTCACTGGAGGCCAAATTAATGCCATCCATAGTTAATATATCTTTAGATAGTTTGTTTCGTAGATTCTTTGGGCCGAGTACAATAACTTCAGTTTTGGCCGTGTTTAACATAAAAAAATGTAAGGTCATCCACGTTTTTAAGTCCTTGAGGCAGTCTTGAATTTTATTTAGATGATTGGATTCATCAGGCTTGATGGATAAATATAGTTGAGTATCATCCGCATCACAATGGAAATGTACAGAATGATTCCTTATAATATTGCCTAACGGAAGCATATATAATGTGAACAAAATAGGTCCAAGCACTGAGCCCTGTGGCACTCCATGGCTCACTTTGGTTTGCATGGAAGATTCATCGTTGACACACACAAACTGAGACCGTTCAGATAGATAGGACCTAAACCAGCCTAAAGCAGTTCCCTTTATGCCAACTAAGTGCTCTAGTCTTTGCAATAGGATGTCATGGTCGATAGTATCAAATGCAGCACTGAGATCGAGCAAGACAAGAATAGAGACAAGTCCCCTGTCTGAGGCCATCAGAAGGTCACTTGTGACTTTAACCAGAGCTGTCTCCGTGCTATGATGTGTTCTAAAGCCAGACTGAAAATCTTCAAATAAATCATTGTTTTTTAAGTAATCACACAACTGTTTTGCGACTGCTTTTTCAAGAATTTTGAAAGTTAAGAAGAATAGAACATCTAACTTTCTACCAAAATTATATAAATATGGGTTATAACGGCGATATCTACGGTCTTGAAAAGGAACTGAAATAAGTGTGTGGGAGAACATTTTAAAAGCTCTTGGTATTTTCATTACCAACCACAAAAGCTTTGTGGGTGTTATTTTTTGACTCATGACAAAATGTGGTACTATACCAAATGAATGGGGAACTACCACAGAGGAGGTTTTGAGTACTTTCCCAGGCAGTTTTGCCTTCACCAAACTTTACATGTGTAGTTGATATTAAAAGCAAAGTTTGAAATGTGTGTGTGGTTGGAGCAACACAACTTTTTTGGAGTAAAAATGGTAGAGGGTATAACATAACCAGTAGAAGCCTATGTCAAACCTGTGCTTAAGTGATAGACTGTGTAAAAAAAGGTAGGCTACAGTATATGAGTGAATCCACCACAGCTAACTGATGTAGTTTCTGACATGTCTGAACATGTAGCCTTGATGACAAACAGGATGATATATCACACAAGACTTCTAATTGTCTGATCTAAGATTACCATAAAAAGGCTATCACAGATACTATTGTCTGTTGTTAGTCTGAGAATAAACAAAGCAGATTAAAAGTGATAAGAGCAGTGATAAAAAGTGTTCCTGGAGTTTGAACACAATGCTCTATGTTAATTTTAATTTTCCCAGTAGGTTTCCTCTTTTTCCCCACTATCACATTTTACAGTAAACGCCAGCTGGACTTCCTGAGGGGCGGGGCTTCCGTAAGGACGGCGTAACGTCACCGGCGGGGCTTTCCTCCGTGACGTCAGAGGGCAGCGGTGGTGGAGCAGCACGAGAGAGGGACCGAGCGCGAGCTGCGGAGATTAAACAGAGAGCGTTTCTGGAGGAATAGAGACCCACCATCACCTGCCAGGATCCCCCCGAAAGGAGACAGCTGGGAACGGTTACAGAGGACTGTTAATACCTACAGCTTTATCGATAAACGCAAGAAGGGAGCCGAGACTGGAGCCGGGGTGTCCGTCGCATCTCTCCCCAGCCTCCTGTCGAAGAGACCCGGTCCACAGCAAGGTGAGTGCCCGGCGGAGAACCCGCCTCTGCCGCAGGAGATGTCTGTCTGATATGTCATGGGTTCAATGAGCCCTGTTGTTTATTTAGACGACCTATATTAAAATAAAAACTGCCACCTCAAAAGGAGTGAAGCAATTTGGTCAAATAACCTCTTAAAATGACACTTAGGTTATCTGCATCTGCTAGTCAGGAGTGCAACTCAGACCAGAACCTCCCAAACCATCCTTACAGGGAAGGAACATGTCCATGTAACATGTAGGGAGGATACAAATCAGTGTCCAGTGTTAGTACTGCTGCATGTCTGGAAATAATCATAAACTATAAAAACAAAATGTCTTCAGCTCTTTATCCAAGTCATCCAGAGTTGAAATCCTTTCCCTTTCTAAAACATTCATGCTCCTGCCACTCCCTGGTCAATGTGTGGTTTGGCTGAGGACAAGCTGTATATTTTCCTGTGAGGAATAAAAGGGAAAAAAAGACTAGAGTTTTAAAAAGATATCTGGACAAGGCAGCAGAACAGAAGGGATGTTATGATACTGTAAGATGTCGAGGCCCAAATAAAAACTCTTCACACGAATATTATATGAACATTTTAAATATTTATTTGTGTTTATTTAAGGACAGCTTTGACTATCGTGCTACTCAAGGTGGAAAAAGGTGTGGTGACATTTTCCAGCATCGTAATGTTTTGGTAACCAACTTGTAGGTTTTGTGTAAATAACGGGGCTGTAGAAACACCTACTTATTGCTAATTACACTAAAATCTACAGATAAACAACAGTCAGCAGGTTGTACTATATTACTGCCATAATAATGCCAGCTAAGGAGTGCTTATAGGCTCAATTGTGATTGGTAATAAGGGTAGGATTGAGGTATTTATTGGCTCTACTTAGTTTTTTGGACATTCAATTAGAAGTCCAAAGATGTGGATTTGTTCAGATTAAAAAAGAGACATGTGTTTCTTCGAATCTAGAGGGGTCAAAAACAACAGCAAATAATCCTTATTAACATTAGCTTTGGATAGAAATATGCTGAACAGATGGAGGGAGAAAGTTTGAATATTTAAAAAGAACTAGCAAATTCGATATCATGACTTAAACGAATGGTTTGGATAGTGTGGATTGTGAAGTGGGGTTATATGAGGTACTTTTCCATAGTCAGGCTATTACCTACAGTGAAGGCGGTCAGCACGCCTCCAGTTATGAGAAACAGACAGGAGAAAATGGCCATGGGAGCTGAGCAATGTACTGCTGTGGAGAAGAGCAGCAACAACATTTAGTTTATCCACCTTAAAGTTGAATATGGTTTTAAGGTCAGGTATGGGTTCTTTCTTATCTTTTTAAATCTGTGTAAGCGTTCAAAAATAAACGATATGTGTTATTTTAGGTATAAATCCAACATAAGATCGTAGACAAACAAAAGCTCTATAATTTGTTTAAAGTGACCTCAACCAGCATATGGTCTTTGTCCATGTGCTAATCAGTTCCTCTTTTTCTCGTCCTGTGTTTGACCATTTCCTCGTCCAGAGTAGCTTTGGGTTCCTATGTCATCAAGGCTTCAGGTTACAGACAATAGCTGGGAATTACAGAGCGCTGTGTGTGTGTGTGTGTGTGTGTGTGTGTGTGTGTGTGTGTGTGTGTGTGTGTGTGTGTGTGTGTGTGTGTGTGTGTGTGTGTGTGTGTGTGTGTGTGTGTGTGTGTGTGTGTGTGTGTGTGTGTGTGTGTGTGTGTGTGTGTGTGTGTGTGTGTGTATTGTGAAACCTGAATCCACTCAGTCAGTTTACTATTGTTACAGCTGCTCACCTACTTCTCTGTAAAGGCATCTTTCTGTATGTGTGTGTGAGGGGATGTTATAAAAATGTGTGTGTGTTAAGAGGTGCTCAGAGGTTTGCTCTTTGCAACTGCAGGCTTGACATTAAACATTAAACAACTCAGCAGTATGGCTCCTGAACGCTCCTCTAATTATAGAAGCTCCCAGCCTAATTCCCTCTACCTTCCAGTGCATCGCCTTGTGTGTGTGTGTGTGTGTGTGTGTGTGTGTGTGTGTGTGTGTGTGTGTGTGTGTGTGTAGTGGTGTGTGTGTATGCAAAAAGAAAGGGAGACGTTATGTTAAGTATTTAAATGTAATGCACTACATTTATTTTATTATTTAAACAATAATTCAACTAATACATAATGATGGTTTATTATGGATTAGGCTAATGGCACTATATAAAGTAGCTAGCATTAGCTTCTCCTTTACCCGGTCAACATTAAAATGGTGAACCCATGAATGGAATAATATAGTATATCATTTTGACAATGGGACATTTTGAAAAATTAGTGCTTTTGGTACTTTAGGTAGATTTGGTGCTAACATGTTTTGCAGTTAGTTATGCTTATTATAAAACATTAAACGGACAATACATATTTTAAATGGAAAAAAAAAAAAGGGAAAAAAAAGCTTAATAGTAAGTTCATCTTTAAGGTCAGCCCACCTTAAGTTGACTACTGTATAGAGCAACATTCTGATATTCTTAAATTAAAGTGAAATAAAGCAACAATACTGAGCTCCAGTCAGATTTTTCAATCAAAGACAATATTGTATGTGTACAAAAACTAAACGCCATTAAAAAACAATCTGCAGCATACAACGGGTGTGGGTGACAAAATGGCATTCCATTTAGGGGAACAGTGCTCTATGACTCGTTAAGGACTTACAAAGTTTACGCCTCGAGTCTGACTCGTGAATTGCACAACAATGACTTGGCTCCATTTGTGTTATCAGGCCATATCCTTCCCAAAACGTATCCCGAACCCTCTCATCACATGTCTTCACCACAGTTATAAATTGCAAATTGGCTGATTATCTTTCCGTAAATCAGCTGATTGATAAAAAATCCTCATAGAGCAATAGCACGTTTAGTAGAACCATAGTAGTTTCCCTAGATTTCTTACAGTAGGAATAAAGTATCATAAAAGAGGTGATATGGTTATCGTCCAACTGTGTAGTCAATTTCCAAGAGGGTGTGTCATTTCTATCAACAGCAGATAAATAAATCATATCTCAAGCACATATATTATTCTTGTGAAGTTTATTTGGCAGTTGATTATAGGGGTATTACACCCTGCAAAACTCTTAGTGATCTGCATTTTGCCAGATCTTTGAATGGTTTTCTAGGGAGGAAGATAAGACACACACAACACACACACACGCACGCACGCACGCACGCACGCACACACACACACACACACACACATACACAGGATTCCCAGGAAGAGCAGGTCATCATGTGTGTTTTTCCACAGAAGTATGAGCTGCCTCCATTATCGGTAATATCACTCTCATCATCAGCTCGCCCCCATGCACACGCCAACATCGAACCACTTTGCCGACAAAAAAACAGTGTTGTAATGTGGGTGGCCCTGCTGTTTGAAAAGTGTTTCTGGTGGATGTGTGAAATATTGACAGTAAATTATTAGTACTTCATGTTCTGTGTGTCGGTAAAAAAACTGTTTACTTCAACTAGTTTACTGGAAATGTTTATTTTCTCCTGAACAAAAACCCATTTATGAAAGTGAAACAGTTTAATTTCTGACTTTCATATTATAAGAAACCAACTTTGCCAGTAAATCTTAACAATCAATCTTTTCTGACACAGCTGTATCTGCTACAATGGTTTGTGTTTGATGGATATTTTTAATGTTTTTTTATTGTAAGATAAACTGATACAGACTTGAAACATTTTAATGAGATTTAATTAATAGAGAAATATGTAGTTACAGTTAAACACATTCCTTAACATTTGAATATTTTGGCTATATTTATATAAAAATGCATTTTTTCCACTAAAGTGGTTTTAAACTTCTTGTATAACTCTTGGCAAGAACCAAAAAAATCACAAAAACAGTTTAGGTGCCAATGAGCAAGATACAGTATTTCATGAAATGGTTAACCTTAAAAAAAGTCTTTAACGCATGTGGTTATGGGGGATTGCTTGTGAAGTGATGGTTTGAGACATGGACAGCAGAGAATGAGATGTTCAGAGTGAATATGAGGTCATTTTCCAGAGAACGGCTGGGAGCTGCGCCAGCCAAGTTCCTATCTGTTGTAAACATAATAGAGGGTTACTGTAGATGATTAAAAGGTTATATGATAAATGCTAGCAGCATTGCTCTTGGGATAGTAGTGCACTCGGGATGGGAATTTGAAATATATATTCGAATATTCGACCCCCAAAAAAATGTTTAACCGATTAACCGAAATGTACATATCCTATAAAAAAAAAAAAATGTGGGAAAAATGTTTACAAAAAAAGAAAATACATGTTCAAATAAGTATAGAAACCAAGTCGAATTTGTCAAATGTATTGAACTGGTGATCACAGTTTGAACAGTTGACAGCTATAGGCCTACAGCTTTCATGCTTAAAACATAACTTGGTTTTCTGATGGATTTGGACATAAACGCGAGTGAAGTATAACCGGACGCGAGAGAGAGAGATCAGCACCTGCAGCTCTGCCCGCTGTGAGGGACCGGTGAGCGGAGCAAAACACACCTTTAGACCTAACACACCTATGGCACTGTCGTATACATTGAATTATTCCATTTGATAATATGTAACAGTGGCGAGCCGTGAGCTTTATACCTAGGCCCTCTGACCCCCACCCCTTCCCTCGAAAAAAAGAAAAAAAAAGAGTTATTACGTCACAGCGTATACTTCAGCGGAATATCAAAACAACGGCCCAGGGTGCAAAACGCATCAATGACAGCAACCCTCTACCACACAAAACAACACCTGTGAACCCAATTTGTGTTCTTTGACATTGAAAATGATATTGCATTGTCTTTGTTACTTTCGTTGCAGTTGTATGTCTTAAATGTAATTTGGCATGCTTTTATTTTGAAGGCGAGTTCACGCTGTTGACAGGAAGTTGTTGTTGCTATGGAAACAAGAAAAGTTTCACAGCGGGCGGAACTCGTCATAAAGTCCGCGATAATAAAACCCACCCATTTAGAGGG